GTGTCTCTGTGATGCCCTGCGACAGACTGGCGACCTCTCCAAGGTGGACTCCGCCTCTCGCCCATAGACTGCCGTAGATATTCACCGGCCCCATCGTAACCCTGATGGAATAAAGGGGAGTAGATGGATGTTTGGATTTTCATTCATCTTTATGAAGGATGCCATCAAATTTCTCCAAACCTGCATGTGTCACTTAGAACCAAACCAGGATTATATCTGGTTAAACTCCTGTTTTAGGCTCTTTTGAAGAGTACAGAGTTTTCTTTAAACCTCCTCACCTTGTGTCAGATCTCTGAAGTTTGGGACTTTCGGAAGGCTCTAAATTACTTGCAGTTTCCCGGTAAAGATACCTGCAGAATAGACTTCAAATCTGACGTTTCAAATACCATCTGATCTGCAAATTTGAAATTCATTCCCTTTTATGTCTGTTGTCAGCTTTCATGTTTGTGTTGGAGCTGTTCCCCAAACCAGACCTTTATTGGAAAAAAAAAAAACCATATTTCCCTGGTGAAATGTTATGTAGAATAAACAGTTATATTGTGCTAACAGCCGTCTCTATTCACAAATCTTTTGTCACACATTTATACTGCTCTTGTTTTCTTTATCAGCAGCGGCATGGGAGCCCGGGACAAGCCTCTCTACCTCACTTGAAGTTATATGACCTCCTCATGTCAGACTCCAGAGAGCTTTCTAACATAACAACAACATCATTGATGTATCTGTTTTTTCACCATTTTTCATTTTTTGTTTTTTTGCGGGGGGGGTGGGGTGGGGGGGTGTTATTTTATTCTTCTGATGGATTTTGAAAATCCCAAAGACTGCTACAGCACCACCTTTTTGCCAAGCACTTAAATCAGCCACAAGCCTGAGGCACTGCCTTTGCTTTCTCTTTTCCTCTTTTTTTTCTTTCTCCTGGTCTGTGAACAATGTTTTTGAGGTGATGGCGAGCTTTAAGCTCACATTGGCATACTGGAAATGAGGGCCTAAAATGTCCTCTCATATTGCTTTGATTTTTTTTTTTCTTTTTGTTGAGAGATCTCTTTTCTTCTCACTCAATTGCTCTGTGTTTGCCACAAACTATCCTTATTAGGAAGATGTGAAATGCTTAAAGCATTCTTAAAGGTAGAAAATCTAAAGCGGGAAACTAGATTATTGACGCTCATCGGGGAGGGGGGGTTTACTTCAGGACATTATGAAACAACTCCATCTGAAGGCAAAGCAATGAAGGCGTTTCCGAGAATACATAAACTCTTTGTAAAGCATCATTCCTCTTACTGAAGAACTTCATATTTTCCTTTATCACGGAGTGATTGTAAATATCACCAAAATGGATCCCTCTCCTCTGTGTATTGAGCTGGAGTCCCTCTGCTTTTTTTTTTTTTAACTCTCTTTTGTTTGTTTAAGTGATTTTCTTTTTGCCGTGCAGACGGGTTCAGTGAGGGGCCACACACATTAAAGCTGAAGTTTAACGCTGTGTTCATGTCTCTCCAAAAAAAAAAAAGGACGCAGGAAATTTAAAGGCTGCAAACTGTTCAGGGTCCTCCTCAGCCGGGCAGAGCTCCTACACGGACATCGCTCCTCTTGTTTATCCTCGGGACATTATGCAGGGGTCACTGATTGAACCTTTTAGCTCCTCCTACTCATGTCAATAAGGACGCCCCCTTTTGCCTATAGCTCCGCCTTCCATCCTTTTAGTCTCATCACTTGTACAGGTGAATAAAAAAATATGTTGCTAAATGTGAAATGTTACTAAAGAAAAAAAAAAAAACATAACAGTGGGTTTTCAAGTTTTTGACTAGTTTCTTAGGTGTTTTAGAATTGTGTTAAACTTTTCCATCTTTATCTTTTTTTGTTGTTGTTTTTTTGCGTGCAAAACATTTTCAAGATATCTCATTTTTATGTCCATTGTTGCAGGGTTTACCGAGGGTCGTAAATTTCAATCCGGTGTACAAGCCTGCCTCTTTAATTTGCAGAATCGTTGCTGAAAAAACCCTTGTTTGTTTTTTCAGATATCATGTTTTACAATTTGGTCGTTTTATTTAATTATTTGCAGGTTTTACATCTATTTAAGGATGAAATGAAGTAAAAATTTGGCTTGTTTGCATCAGGTTGCATTAGTATTATTACTATTATTATTATTATTATTATTATTATTGAACCAACACCTTTATTTTTAGAATAATAAATATTTTCAGAATTTGTTGTTGGTGCATCTTTCCACATACATGTACCAACATTAGCTTCATTTTTGTGTCACAAATACTTCTTTTTTTGTTTTCTTTTGTCTGTAATAAAATGTTTAAAGTGGGAAAGTGAATGTTCATGTCTTATTTTCAATATTCCTCATTATTATATCTTTGAAGATTCATTTGTTCTTATGGCAAACTGCTGCTGTCGCTTATAAACATAATTTTGCTGAAAACACCCCCACCACCACCATCCACCCTGCGCTCTATTCGTGTAGCCGAGGTTAATTAAGAGGATTATCTTTGATGCTGAAAAAGTAAATGTAGCTGTTGTCATGTTGCTCATTATCTGCTGTTTTTAAGCTTTACCTTATTCACTTTGACTTTGTTTAATGTCTTGTAAATCCAGGATTGATTTATTTCTCTTTAAATCAATATAGTCAAACACATCATATATATTCTACAAGTTGGCCATGTTTTTAGTGCTGAATATGTTATGATGAAACTCTGGGTTGCTGATGCAGTACACAGCTTTACAGAAAACTACCTTGGTAGAAAAAACACACAAAAAAACAGCAGCCTTTTAGTTTTGAATTTCACAGTTGGATTAAAGGTAGAATAGAAATGGAATATATCATCTCTACCCCCCCTTAAAAATATGCACTACTTTCTTCTCTCTCTGAATGCATGTTATGCTGTAAGCAATGGTGACGCAGTGCCCCCTAAAGGTGATTCATAGGCAGTGTCAGGGAGTGCGTGTTGCTTAAGGGGAAATTTCTGCATTTAAAATCATACATATTAGACTAACAACCACTGATATAAAGAGGGAAGAAAAGAAAATCATGGTTCTGAAAGGTTTTAACAAAGAAGAATATGAAAAGTCTAATGTGATTTTGTTTAGATTTTATATTTTCAGCACCTCATTTGCATGTAGTTAGCTGGGGTTTTTTTTTTTTTCAAATCTACAAACACGTTTGCTAAATTTTCCTTTTAAATCAAATTCCAATTGTTAATAATCTTAAGTATCCAAGGCTCAGTCAGATTGGAGGAAAGGCATCTTCTGTCTGTCTGTTCTGATTGTGAATCCAAAGCAAAGTTTTAACTGGGACCTTTTAAAACATCAACATGATGATCCAGATGATTCTATAGTGGCTCTGAATATTTGTTAGGCTAGTTGTCTTGCAAACAAATCAATGTCTGTCTTAAGTCATTCAAATTCTTGTGTCTGCTGACACATTCTCCTGCCTGAGCTGTCAGCCATGGACACAGGTGAGTAGAATACTCAGAAATGGTACCTAAGTAAGAGTAGCACTACATCATCATTCTTTTATTCAAGTAAAACTAAAATCTGTTAAGAAATTACTCCAGTACAAGTGACAAACTACTAGGTGAAAAGGCTTGTCAAGTAGGGATAATTTAACAGGTTTTTTACTCAAAAGTAACAAGTACAATGCTGTAAAGCTACTAAAAGTACATTATTTAAAAGTTACTCAAGTAAATGTAACTATAGTTACTACCCACCTCTGCCATGGGGTTCACTGTTGGTTCTCTGATTGATTGCCTTAGTCCATCAGTTAAACACAATTCTTGTTAGGTCTTAACACCTGCACAATATATTGAATTGCAGTGCATCATTTGCAATATAGCACCATCAGTCAACTGCTTGTGGTTCTAAAATCCCCTGATGCCCACAATTGATGTGTCATTTTAATGGGAAAGTCTTAAATTGAAAATTTGATCTGCATTTGATATGCAAAAATTAGTTAAGGAGAAAAAAAAACTGAAGTGTGAAATTTATCCTGTGTTGTACATGTAAAACAATGAGCAAAAAGGCAGCGCTATCAAACCAACTCTGGTTAATGTGACTCTATCTCCATCTGCTGGTTAAGTTCATTAACTACAAGTAGTCATGTATATGACCTATACTTTTTTATTTATTTTTTGCCTGAAACTAATAAAGACAATTTCCATGTGGCATCCACTTCATCAAAAAACAAAAATTGTAAAAGAGTTTTTTTTTTTTTTTTAAGTGTTCCCTTTATCATTTTTGGATCATTTTCACAACATTATATGGAACTAATGTGAACTAAATATACAGTAGGTGTCTTGTACAGATGACACCTATAGTTTTTTCATATTCCAAACTGATTAATGCACACCTTTATAACTTTGTTTTGCTTTCTTTTGTAATGATTATGTATATTTCTGTTACTAGTTACACTATAATAATACTACAAATAGCTTAAAAACCATACAGTGTAAATGTGTCTTACAAATGAGTATAAAAGAAACTATACTTTACAAGAGTAACAGCTATAAAAACCACCAGTCAAGTAATATTGGTGTGGTGTTTTTGTTTGTTTTAGCTCTTCCAATCTTTCATCATCAATATAGTGTCTAGCGGTCCTGATGCTGCTTCCATTGGTACCCTTCAGGGGCTTTCATTTCCTCCTCAGACAGATATGAACTCCCCAGACAGCCCAGGCCTGCGGTGGCGTCATTGTCAGACAGCCAACAAACAAGACAAGACAAACAAAAAAGGATGGGCTTTTTATCAAGATCCCTGCCCAACCACTTGATGGCTCAGGAGATAATGCTGGACTGCATTTTGAGAAAATAGCCCCTGTCATATCCTCATTTGGATCAAAGCTGCCTCTTGTTGGGGGCTGCTTGCTCTGTTTGAAATATAAGCCTTTTGTTAACTGATACTAATATATCTGGGAGCTCCATTTATATAGCAGTGATGCCAGTATTATAAACATTTACGGGAGAAACTCTGTTTATTGTTTTGCAATAAATCAAAAAAACATTTCAAACTTTGAAGAAAATACTTTTATTTTGACAGGTACCTGCTATAGTTACTGAGATACAACAGATAATTAATCTCATATTGAAGATTAAAAATACAATTTTTCTATTTTTCATAACATTTTACCTGGCAAATGTGATTACAACATATATATATATGTATATAAATTGTCTTATACATATAGAGAAATGGGCTTGCAGAAAGGATTCATTCTTATTTGAGGTCAGTCAGTGGAGGTGTCCATATTTATTTCTTTGACCTTTGTGCTATTTATTGGTTTACTCATAACTTTGGATGAGTTTATTTATTGAAAGTTAAGTCTAAATAATTACATAAAGTGCCTTTGTTAATTTTATTCATCTTTGAAATAAGATATTCAAATTAATATCCCGACAAAAAAGGATAGATGAGATGATAATAGACCAGATTTAGTAAAAGCTTTTAAAGCTGGAAGGGCTTTTAAAGCTTCCAGCACCCAGGAAGGTTTTCTTTGGGGTTTGTCAGAGCTGAAACTATGAACTTTATTAAACATTCAATTTGGTCTCCGAGTGTCACAAAAGTATGGAATATCAGCATTAACAAGGACGACAGAAACCTTTAATACGAACACTAATACAACCACTACAGTTATACCTGTACATCTCCTTTGTTTCTGCTACCAGAGCTTTACAAACAGAAAATCTACTTTCCATTGTCTTTCTATGATTTATGCACAGAGCTAACTCTGTTTTACATTGGAATGAAATCACACAAACAAAAAACAAAAAAAACTGGCTAGCCTGATAGTAACACTCCTACAGAAGAAATTTCAAATGTTTTATGTTCTACAGATTGTGCTTTAAAATAAGTGCTGATTTATTGTAGAAAATAATGCTTAAATGGATGTTTCAGATAGAAATGTTAGTATAGTAGTCTTCTATAAACAGTGACATTATACAGTGGCTCTGAAAGGTTTTGACATTTAAAATATAATTTTAAACCTTGTTGTTATATTTGATGTAAAATATCCTCCAGTGTTAATTAAAAACCAACATAAGAAAAGGAGCAGCAATAATCAGTTTTCATAAGTGTGAGAACTAAAACTTTGTCGTCTTTTTTACTCAGCTTCCTTTATTGAGCTCACAGCTGCCCAATTTTGGCTTTTTTTTAAAGACATGTTCTCATTTACATCCCTCATATTAATCCTTAGATTGGAGAGAGGTTAGAAATTATCGCATCAATATATAAAGGCACCGTCTTGTTAAGTTTGAAAAAGGCCAAGAATAACATTGAAGTGATCAACTGTACTCCCCATAGACTAAGGAATAGGGTAGTAAGGCAGAACCCCTTTTTCCCCATAAATAAAATCATTGGTAAAAGTTTCCATTTTCTTTGTATATTCCTTTAATCTCAGAAGGAATCAGATTGTCGGTTTAGGCCACACTGCTGAGTGTTATTTTTGTCTAAGAAACTACACACAAACACGGTGGTGTAAGTATCAGGATCTGGGTTTTCTTTTCTTGGATGGAAAAGAAATTTTTAAGTAGGTTAATGAAATTATGGGGCCTTTTTTTCTTACATTCTTCTGTTCTCAGTTAGAAAACTAAGGACAAAGAGGAAAATAATTAACATATCTGTTTTGCTGGAAGAAAAGTAATGTTTTACAAGGCTGTGGGCGAGGAATGATCTCATAATTAGAGAGGTTTGGAGAAATTCTGCGCTGTGAAGAAAAAACATAGTCAAAATGTTTGATGCTGAGGTGCCCATACCAAGGAATGATAATAAAAGGCTGAAAATAAACTACTACAAAAACTGATACAGAATTCCTGGTCAAAAAATATTAGGGGTTTTCACACTTATCACACTATATATTGCTGCTCTTTTCATTTTTTGCCGTAGCATATTTGTTTCCTTTTTAATTCAAGTGTACAGGATGAAAATCACATTAAAGTTACTAAAAGTGTGAAAATGGTACATTGGGGTCTTGTTTTATATAAAAAATAAAAAAGAGTTTCCGTTTTATCCAGTTGTCAGTGTATGTAATATTGCAATTGCAAAGTAACGGTTTGATGCTAAAATGGGTAGACTAGAACATCTCTGGATGCATAGATCTGTAAACCAATAAGGTAACTGGACACCATGATTGAATTTCCCTGCCTTTATGCACTTATCTGAAGTACGGACTAAGATAGGAGTTTAGGGGGAGAGGTGGAAACTTGGTTTAGATAGAAAAAAAGAAAACTGAGAAAATGTAGATGCCCCAATCAATAACTTCATCACAAAATTCAACTATGAAATTGAAGAAGTCTGTCTTTCTATTACCACGCAGCCCTAGTACACTTTTGAGAGCCACTGTAGGCTAGCAGCATATTTCACATACAGAAATAGATAATGCTAAACCCTCAGTTTTGCCACACAATTTAAAGAAGTGTAAACTATTAAATACTATGTGATTGTTAGTGATACTCAAAGTAAGAAGTCTAACCTGTCATTTGTTCCTCTTTTCTATGTCCATCAATACAAAATGAACCAGCAGGGCAGTAGATTTACAGCATAATAATACTGTATTTGAAGTGTCTAAACAATCATGTGTTCATTGTGATTTTTCACATTTAATGGAAAAAAGCGTGTTCCAGCATTAAGCGGGACAAAACTATCAAAGTAAAAGCAGCATAAACAAAGATAAAACTAAATTAAGACAGAATTTTGACCTTCGGACAATTAAAACAGCATAAAGAAGTCACAAAAAATGCCTCTATCTCTAACAAGGGCGTTCCATAAGGCCACCTTTGCATCTTGTAATTTTTTTACACTTTTACTTTAGCTAGTATGAAAAAAAAATGTGCTCAAAATGAATTTAAAGAATGAATGTAAACATTTGAAGACTCAAACTAAGTTTTCCAGGTGTTACTCAGCCACCTCTTGTTTTTCCTTCTCCTCAGGAACAGACATGAAGATCTTCTGACAGAACATTGTGAAGATTTCTGAGAAGAAACAACTTGTCAACTTAGATATTTTGTTTAGCAACATTAGCAATAATGAACACTTGTACAAAAATAAACCAGAACAGTGGGTATAGGTATACTCTGACATGAATTTCATAACAGCCTGGTCTGAACAAACAAAGGAGCCGTTTTAAAACAAACAAAAGCAGAGCTTCACTTACCCAGCATTTTCTTGAGCATATGGGGTTTCTTCCACTTGTAGCCGAGCAAATATGCAGGAATGCCTGTGAGAATAATGCTGCTGCCAACCAGGCTTTCAAAAGGAGCAGCCCAGAAGGACACGATTATCATGAAGACACAGCCCAACACGAAGGTCACAGGGATAAAAAGATACACCTGTGAGAAAAGAAAAGGTAAAAAAAAAAAAGCTTTTAAATTCACTTCTATAAGGCTGCAAACATAGATTTTGTCACCTGCCTTACAAAAACAAGGCATAACAAACAAAATGCAGATGAGAGATATAGCTGAAAGCAGTTTAAATATTGTCAGAAGCGAAAGTGTGTAGTTGGTATTTATTTCATTTTTTAATACTTCAATAATAACAGACACTAAATTCTGAGAACTCTGTGCTTTTTCATGCAAAACCATATACATATATATATATATATATATATATATTGGCATATTGTGATAAAGTTCATTATAAAACTTGAACATTCGTATATTTTGGATTCATTGCACACTAAATGAAATATTTCAGGTCTTTTATTGTCTTAATATAGATGATTTTGGCATACAGCTCATAAAAACCCAAAATTGCTATCTCACAAAATTAGCATATTACATCCGACCAATAAAAGAAAAGTGCTCTTAATACAAAACAAAAAACATTTTTTTTTATATTTATCTAGAAATCCCACACTTTTCCAGATTAAGCTTCCCAGAAATCTCATTACAGGATTATTTTTTACCCCTGCTAAGGAGGTTATGTTTTTATATGTCTTTGTTTCTTAGCAGGATTACTTGAAAAATTATGAACGCATTTAAATGAAATTTCTACCAGAGGTGCGCCTCATGCCAAGGAACAAGTCATTCGGTTTTGGTGATGTTTTAAATCATAATCTGGATATGGCATTTTTTTTTTTTTGTTATTCTTCAATATAATTTGCCGGAACAAGCAGTTCCTACCTAAAACAGAGGGCGGCAGTAGCGCCTATTGACAGCTTCAGCACCTGATTAAAAAAAGTTTATACTGAAGATAAAAAAAAATACAAAATAAACAAGCCTCACTCGAATTCTCGATCTACTGATCAAAGGAGAGCAGAGTGAAGATGAGGACATTTTTACAAGAGATCCAGAACATGTGCGAGGTTAGCTATAGGTGTGAGTCACAATATTGAACAAAATTAGCTGTTTGCTGGAGGTAAAGGCTTTCAATTCTGAACTTTTCCACTGCACTTGTAATGTTTGCTGTAAGTTGTTTTTGTGTTTTTGGAGACTTCTAGCATCTTGCAGGCAGTGGCGGCTGGTAAATAAAGGGTGCTAGGGCACCATCGCACTCACCCAATGACGTTGATTAAGAAATTTAAAAAACACCCTAAAAATGTAATTATTAGGTCTTAATATTTCAAAATATATTCATATATATTTCAGATTGGTAAGATAAATATTTAATATTTAATGACGAGTAAAGCTATTTCGTTCGTCGTCGGATTGGTGATGTATTTCCGCCCTGGAAAACAAATTTTTGCCCATAGACCCTCGTTAAAAGTGGTACATGCACAGTAGCTCATCTGCAACACAGAAGTATAGGAGATCCCAGGGCACAGCTCTCCTGCATCCAGAGCTTAAAACAACTTTATTTTCAAACCACCTACCCCTCACTTCAACTGCCACAACCATATCACATTGCAACCTGTGGTTTAAACAGTGAACTAACAATGGGGATTTATTTATCTAATCCACATCAGATAATTTTATTGACATATTTAAATGGAAATTTAAAAAGCACTACTTTCCTGGTGCATTTTTCAGCATTGTTCAAATTTATATTTAAAATTTATCTCTCAAAATGAATGACACAAAACATTTTTAAAGGGTGTCATATTTTCACATATTGTTGATACTACTAACAAATAAACCATATGTAAAGAACACTTATGCTTGGTTCCTACTCAAATACATTTCAGTATTTTTAGATTAGTTAAAACTGAGTTTATGCCATTAAAAAATATGCAAAATCCTAGATAGCAATTTACTTTTGGTTATTTTGCTTGTATTTATTTTCAGCACTAAAACTCTTAATACAGTGTTTTAGAAATGCAGGACTCAGATGTCTAGAGATAAAGCAAGGAATCAAGTGTCCTGAAAGAATTTCTGAACTGAGACAACAATCCTTAGAGCCTTGTTTCATAATTGTTTTAGTAATAAAACTCAGATGTCTGTTTATTTCCTGTGTATAGTTTATCTTATAAAACAAATGGGGTGGGATTACTTCGCCTCAAAAGGAAGATAAAAGACTGCTGTTAACTTAGGTAATATTCCCACGATGAAAGGGAAACAAAGAACGGCGCGTTCATTCAATCGCCACTCCCTCCTGTCGTGGAAACACAGTGTGGTTCCATTTCCAACTCACAACAGGAGCAGTGATACAATGGCGCTTTCATTCTAAATGAAATAAAAATAGTGGAGCTCTTATGTAACTTGATGACATGTTGATGTTTTTGAGAAGACAAAGAATCTGGCAGTGGTTTAGGTAGAGCCTCGCATTATGAAGATTGAATGTTACCCAAAACACAAGGGGCTCAGTTTAAATCAGTGTTCAGACGGTACCTTAATAGGTCTTCGGAGGTCCGGCTTGGTGATGCGCAGCCACACCAAACCAGCAATTGCCATGCCAACACACAGCCAGGTGAAGAAGCTGAAGAGGTTGATGACTGAGAAGATATCCTGGGAAATGGCGTACATCATGGACAGGAGGCACTATAGCAAAATGACAACAATGTTTGCTCTCTTTGACATAAATATAGAAGATTTCCATTTTTTTTTTAAAATGGTGTTTGGTCAGTGTTTTTTTGCTGTAATAATGTTGACTTGTAATGAATTAAGGATCAATTGACATTTTCATAAAAAAAAAAAGTGAATCTTCAATATTTTACCAAACTAATATATAAGTTTATTTCTGGAGTTTTTATAAGATTCTGAGGAAAAATTATTTGAAAATTATTAAACTTAAAGTCCATTAAAAGTAGCCCTGTCTGTAGGTAACAATTAACATGATGCTAAAATCAAAGTATGCTTTCGGGGCCATGTAACTGCTTTTTGGCCTACAGGGGAACACTTTAGATAATGACCTTAGTTTACGCTAAAAGAAGATTTTTTTAAGTACAGTCTATGATTTCTGTTACCTTAAAAAAAAAACAGCAGTTTAAGGAATATGACATTAACCAGACCCATATTGCAAAACTCATGTCCAGATTTCCCATGTCCAAAACAGCTGTATAATAACTTTTGTTCTACCTTTGAATTTTTACATTCACAAAGTCAAAAAGAGAACTTTGTTGGGTAAAATTTCATAATTAAGGTGAGAGGTGGCAAATCAAAGCATTTGATTTAGTATCCAATGAGATATTAAACAACTGATTTAATAAAGATGTAGATGTTCTTAAATAGACTTTTGGAAAAAAATCTCTTTTCATTTCAGTTCAATTTTTTCCCACACTTATCAAGACCTGTGATAAAATAAAATAGAGCAACCCTTTAATCTCATACAAGTAGATGCCAGTCTACTGGCCTTTTATTGGTGAGATGCAGCCATGAAAAACTTGCCAGACCATCCAGGCCAGCACCAAACAGCTTTTGGTAGCATAAGAGTGATGGGTTGGGGTGTAATATACAAAAAAAAAAATCAAGTATGAGTTAAAATAAACAAGAACCTGAACAATTGCCGTTTTCTGACAAAATTTGCAAACATGTGATAAAAGTACATTTGAAACAAGGAGCAAAGGAAAGAAAAACAGTAGCAATTGCCTTTTAGTGTTGAATAGAAGTTCAGGCTTACTGTAAAGATCAGTGATGGTACAGGTGTAAACAAGTCTGTGTGAACCAGTCCCAGAGCAGCAGGGAGCTGACCCTCTCTGGCTCCAGCATAGAACAGCCTAATGGAGAAACAGGTGGTTATTTTCCACTGAAGCATTTCGCCTAGATACAATTTCCACCCTCAGATCTTGAAACAGCCCCTCTCTAACTCTCCATGGACAGAAATAAAGTCAATATTATGCTTTAGTCACCGTGCTGAAGTAAAAAGAGATCCATTGACGGCTCCGAAGCAGGAAAGCCCCACAAAGACAGGAATCAACCAGGCCATCACACCGAGATGGTACTCCCCGAAACTCTGCATCAAGAGAACAAAGAAACGTACACAAATGAAGTGGACAACTTGTTAAATAAAAGCTTCTGTGTGCAAGACAAAGACGTGTGTGTGGTTGTGAAGTGAAGTAAACCACCTTACCACAGCAACAGCCTCAGACTCAACCATGACTTGAGGAGAGATGGTGGTGAAGTAAGCCAAGTTGGTCAGCACGTACACCACTGTGACTATAGGCATTGATATGATGATGGCCAAAGGCAGATTTCTGTGAGGGGTAACAATCATTAAACCACAACAGAGCAAAGTTAGAATTTCATAACAGGATGAAATCTGCACATCAGAGACTGAATATATCTTTAATGTCATGCCATCCATTGTTTACAATGCGGGTCAGTGTTGATGTGGCCTTGTACTTTATCTCCATGCAAGCAAGCTTATTCATAGTTGAGGGCAATCATGCCTTTGCTCTACTATTCACAGAAGAGTCTATAAAATACTGAAATCAACCTGCATCACTTCTAAGTCACCTCTCTGGATTGATCATCTCCTCTGTAACGTAGTTCAGGTAATTCCTGCAGGGAAACAACATTTTAGGTCAACTAGGTACAACTGATTGTAAAACCTGATTTACAGCTGGTTTTTATAAAGGTGCACAAAGCCTCACCATCCACCAAAAGCAAAGAGGCCGCTGTACAGCGCCAATACAATGTTGTCCACTCCCATTTTACTGCCTTCAAATGCCTTTTCTGGTTTCAGATATGGCACATCACCTGCATGCAAAGAGAAAAAGTTGCAGAAGAAACAGCTGAAACGAAAACATCAGGAACCTCTGTAGTTTGTGGGCAACTCAGTGCAATATTTATTTATTGGTGTTACTTCTTCAATAACTCAGTGCAATACATATGTATATATATACTCTTACCCTGTATATAGCTAGCTCTTACTCATAGAAAACATATTTATTGTGCAGGAATAAGGTCTTAGCTCTGTTACACTGGTAGCCAAATAATCAACATTTCTTTGTCAAGATTCACCTTCTGTTTTTTTGTGCAATGGCAATAAAGGAAGTCTAACATGGGGTAACAACACAGTAGAACATCAGCTTGTCTCCCCTTATGGTGGCTGTGATAAAGCAATTAACAACAACTTTAAAAGGAGCGACAATTTTAATTTTTGAAGGAGGTTCATGTTGATAAGATTTTTATCCTTACTAAATTTTCCCTTGGTTCTTGTTTGTGGCCCAATTGTGCCCTCACAGGAACCAAAACCTGTGTTAAGTTGCCCTCTTGGGCACTTAAAAAGCAAGTTAAAATTCCTTCTTGAGAGCCAAATGTTGCGTTTAAGTGGTGTCTACATTGGTGAGGACATGACATATCTGCTCTTCTTTTACTTTCACACCACTGATTACATCACAGTAGGGAAAGACAGAGAAGCAGCACTAAAAAACACTAATAGTTCATTATTTTAAAAAGGTGTTGGAGTGCTTCTTAGCTGGCAACTATTTTTGTCTTGTGACAGAATTTAAACAAGGAATAATTGCAATAGATATGTTCTGTCATAAAAAAAAAGCTATCTTAAAAATTATATGAATATAAACAGTTTTTCTTAAAATACTTAAATTCAGCTGTTGTTCCAAGAATAATGAAGCCAAGAAAAAGCTGAAATAACCTGCTCAATAACACAGATTTACATTTTATTTTTTGCCTATTTTGGTAGACATGTTTTCTCTGTATACTTCTGACACTTTTTATTTCTCCCTCTGTTGGCCAGTCTGTTAACACCTGCCTTTTAACAACCTGATATCCTAAACCATTATCTTTTCAGATCTTGAAAAGCATAATGAGCTCTACACCTCGTGACATTTAAATCCCAGCATAAAAAAAACAGAATGGTAAATACACTTCAATCCACAAAGGAAAAAGTAAATTGCATCAGTATAGCAATGGTAGAAATGATGTGTGCTTGTGCTTCTCTCTGGGTGTTACTCCATTCTACCTGTTGCTAATAACTTTCTCCTAACTGGGGTTGGGGAAGCACTCTTTATTCGCTCCTTCTGTCATGGTCTTAAAATCACAGTGTCTAGGCTTTGCCACCTTGTTACCATGGCAACTGGGGGCTGTGATGGGGGGGGGGGTGCAATGGGAATAGGTGTGGTCTAATAAAAGGAGGGAAAGAAGCAGATGTCACATTCTGTTCCCGTGCATTAACATTTGAATTAATTTGTTCATTGCACCAATTCAAAGAACCATACTGTACATCAGGAGCTAAAATTATGATGATTTTCATTATCGGGATTTTATTAAATCCTCTAACATCTATGTTTCCTCATATAAAGTGTGCAGATTAGACTAGAACAGAGGTAATGATTTACAGCCGTGTGCAGCAGAAAGTATACACACACAGATACACATGCACATGGCTGCATAGCTAGACTCAATCAGCCGACTGGAACAGACAGACCCTGTGTTCACACTCTGCAACTATGCTAACCAACTGAAAGGACAGCAGCCTGCTTCATTGGGCTCATTAGCATGCATCAACAATTTGCTCATAATTAGAGACAAAAGAAAAGACTTTGTACTGTACGTATGAACAGAAGGGTTAAAAACTGATTAATAAACTTTATATTATGTTATTCTCAGGAACTTATATTGATTGTTAAAATAATAATGTTGTCCAGACACCATTATTGCCTTTTTAAAGCATAGAATTATTCATATCCATGGCGGATTTAGATTTTAATTATTTTTATTCTTCTACCAAAATTTGCTTTTGAGGTTTTAGTACTCATAAAAGTATCTCTCTAAATTTAATAAATCGCTTTAAAAATAAAGGAATATTGTGACACTTATTAGCAATACAAAATTCCAACCTTCAATACAAGTACTGTGTTTACTTTGTGAGGTTGCTGTCTGAAGTCTGAATTTCCCTGACTTGGGATTTAGGTCTTCAGGTTTGAATTATTAACAGTTAAGTGCTGGATTTTTGTAAACTGAAACAAACAAATTTGACTGTTTCATAAGACTAAAAAAAGAGTACATATAAAAAGAATACTAGGCCTGTTTTCTTTATAAGTCTGACCTATATCTTAAGTTAGAACATAATGATTTCATAATAAAATAAAAATAACAATTTGCTGCTTTGAGTTCATCACAGGGGAATAGCAATAGAGGTGAACCAGTTGTTTATTGTTATTCTATCATCTTTGAACATGAACTTTTCTAAATTGACGTAGCTTATCTTGATTGTGCCTGTTTAAAAACATCCCGTTCTGTGTCAAGTAAATAAATTGACAGATTCAGTAGACAAAAAGTCCATGAATCTATAAATAATAACCAAGAATGTATTTTGAGGGTCTAAATAAACGGTGCTTACCCGTGGAAATTTGGATGAAGCCAAAGAGGATGATGATGATGAGAGCCAGTAATTTGGATGCTGTGAACAAGTCCTGGACTTTGGTCGCTGCTCTCACACTGATACAGTTCACAAATGTCAGGGAAGCTGCAACAGGTTGGGAAATAAATGAGTAGAAAAGGACATTTGAAAAACATTACTCCAATTTTACACATTTAATATGATTAAATATATGTGGGAAAACTTAGAAACAGTTATACTCACTAAGACATATGCAGGCGATGAGCTTGGCTGCACTGTCTGGCACAGGGCATGTTGGATACAGGGGCTTAAGAAGATAGGTGGCAAACACCAGCGAGACCACATATTGGGATGATGGCCGGATGATTAGCATCTCCACCCACAGTTTCAGAAAGGCTGCAAGTTCCCCATATACCTCCAGGATGTATGTGTAGTCTCCTCCGGACTTTGCGATGGTTGTGCCCAGCTCAGCATAGCACAAGGCTCCCATGGTGGAAACAACCCCACAGGCAGACCAAATGATCAACGAGAGGCCAGCAGAGCCCGTCTCTTTGATCACACCTGTAGGAGTCACAAAGATGCCCGAACCGATGATGGTGCCAATGATCATCCCCACACCGTTGAAGAGGGTGATGCTACGCTTGAGCTTGATCTTTTCCCCCTTGCTCGGTGGACTGTTTGTTGGATCAGTGGCAGTTGGGTCAGAGACCATAGGGGTGGATGGGGATGCAGGTTGCTCCTCAATGAGACCATCCTGGATGGGGACTGCTTCAGTTGCTGGTAAAGTCAGGACAGCAAAGTAGGAAGAAATCAGACAGAAACACCATAAAACCTGCTTAGATTCTGACATGTAGAAAATAAAAGTATTTTAAGAATTGATCATTTTCACAAGTTTCTCTCCCTCTTTTTTTCTATCTGCTAACCGTATTTCAACGGATAGATACATGCACCTGCCATTTCTGTCATTTGTAAACATCATAAATCAGAAAAAGCACAACATTTACATGATCAGCTTTGTTGTTCTATTCTTGCATCAGACAGAGTTGCATCAGAGCAGCTGATGGAATAATGCAGCTCTGCGCCATGTGCCATCTCCAGGAGTGTGAGTACACACTGTACTTACTCCCCATCTTCTCCTGGCTCCCTGCTTTAGCAACACTCTCCCGGCTGCTTCTGGACTTCAGCTCCGGCTCGGCCATATTCCTTCCTTTTCTGTTCTTCTGTCTTGTCTCTCTTCTCCTTACCTTATGTGCACTCCCCTCCTGTCAGGATATACCACCCTCTCTCTTACTCTCTGTCTCTCTTGCACACCCAGACACAATTGCAACTATTCTTCTGTAACCTGCCGGATTTCTTTCTCACACCCTCAAGCACACAATCGTCCTCTCATTTACTCTCAGTGCCACCGTCACTCAGTCTGTAATCTATCTGACCCTGATCCTATGGTCTCCCACTCTCAGCATGCAGCAGGGAGGAGCTGAAACTTAGTGATGCTGCTGATGCTCGTGCCTACGCCCACTCCGAGTGAATCATGGGATAGCTCACGAATGGAAGTGGGTTACAAGAAGGGACCATTTGGGGAGGAGAGTCACGTGACTCTGTAAGCTTTTTGTTTGCTGCCCTAATCCTGTGGCAGAAGGTATGGTCCGTGTGTGTCAGCGTCTGCTCTGATGTCAGACCCTATTAGGATGGATGCTGCGGGGTAGCGCTCCCTCTACTGGCACGACTGGGGTAAAGAGTGGATCATTGTTTTTTGAGAAAGATGAAACCATAGAAAATGGACACCCAAGGGCCATTTTCAGCCAAAAGAAAGTACTTAACAACAACATTTTGCTGCACATTGTTTTGTTTGCTGTTGATATCCTTTTTATTATTAGTGTATTGTGAAATGGAAGAAAAAGTATATCATCAGATTGATAACAGAACTGACATGTGTGAATGTATATATATATAAATATATATATATATATATATATATATATATATATATATATATATATATATATATATATATACACACATAAATGTATATATACATATTTAAATAAATAATCATACATATATAATATATAAATACAAATATATAAATGTGTGTGGGTTTTATATATATATATATATATATATATATATATATATATATATATATATATATATATATATATATATATATATATATATATATATATATATATATATATATATATATATATATATATATATATATATATATATTTATATAGAAAATCTTTTTTTATTCTCAAGGAGGTACATATACTTGCCGGCTGCTGTTGCCTGGGCTGTATATCAACTTTTAACCACCAGATGGCGACATTATCTTGTTTCTAAACTTAAAATCCTTGCAAATGAATCCAAGGGTATTGTACTTTTCCATATTTTCTTGCTACACCTCGAATTATTTCTTACAAAGTAAAAGCATTAAAAATATCGTGTGTGTTTATTTTCACCTGATTCAAAAAAATGTTTAAAGAATACATTTAAAAATCCCCTCATATTAAGGGGACTGATTTAACCTCTGTATAAACTGTTCAGTGGCAGCCTGAGATGTGAAAACCCTTAGCTTTTATAACAACCTACCAACATGGTAGAAAGTATAAAGTTGAAAGCAGGAGTATGTTATAAAACAATATCCATCAATGTTTTTCTTTATCAGGGAAATAGCATAAAGTTAAAGAGGACTGGTGAAGGTAAATAAGAGCACTACTGGTACTTAAACTGTCAGAGGGTTTAAAAAACTTTGAAAAGATGTTGATGTTCAGCAGAACAATGGCCTAAAACATGGAGATGGGTCATATTTATTGATTGTTTTCTATTGTTATCAATCATTTACACATGCCCAAATAGCTTTTAATTCATGCTAAGCACATTAATTTCCCATTTGAAATAAAAACAAAAAATGTAAATACTTGAGAAAAACAAGGTTTATCTGAACTGACTGAGCAAACGCTATATGGGACAAAAACTGCAAAGCTGCTAGAAACATACTGTGAAACTTCCAGCCAAATGTGGTTCTACAAAGTGCTAACTAGTTAAGACTTAGGCTATATAAATTTGTTCTGCAACATCAGGAACAATGTTTCCATGACCCAATTAAAATTATACTTCAACTAAATTATCTACACAAAGGAACACAGCTTTACATAAAAGCCCAAAAATGCGCATTCAGAGAATGAGCCCCGTTCTGTTGAAGAGTTACATGCAGAATGTTTGCATTACTATGAACTCTGACAAAGTCGACAAGCGATCTCAAGGCTCGGTTCGCATGAACGTCTTAGCCACTGATAGAATAACGCAGGTCAACACTGGATCCAACCAGGGCACTTTCTGCCACGGGTCCGGGGACTTTCCCCTGGGCGGTAGAGAGGAGAAATCAGATTCTCTGTTTGTAGCCCAGAGAGCAAACCTTCTGAATGCCCGGATGTTCAAGGGCGTGACTCTCAATATAAACTATGTGAAAATCCAACCACTTAGGAAAACGGTTTCAATTTTAGAAACGTTCTTTATTCGAATCAAATTTCATGCTGAAAGAACACAAATTACTTTATTTTTAACGTTTTTCTCAAGCAATTGTGTATTTCAATACATAAAAAATTAAATAAAAATACGAATGAGCGTTTTCATGTTCGCGAAGCATCATGGGTAATATCAACTTCTGCAGTCCGCCTCTCCGCCGTACTGTGAGCTGCATTTCTAGCTGTGACAGTTCAGTGATCAAACTTCTAAACTTATCCTCCCCTGTGACAACAAATTAACTCACTTTGCAATAACTGGGTTTCAAATAAAAAAAAGAGTAATTTAGGTTAGACTCTTTCTAATCCTTCAATATTTTGCTGTTTCTAAATCCCGTGTTTAGGACTTAGGATATATTTGCAAGGGTCTCAACTGTCCAGAATAAAAAAATAAAAATTTAAACAGACAGCTCGTTTTGAGAAAACAAATAGTTAATCCAAATACAATTTATTCATTCTGACTATATTTTACAAAATCAAGTTTGATATAGTTAATACAATTTAGGTTCAAAATAAGCAGATCTTAATTGTTGAATAGTTGTATTCAGATAATTATCGAGATCCAGAGTAATATATATCTTTTAAGTAATGTAGATATAGTTTTACTAAATAACTCAATAAAAGTTTAATGCTACATTTATTGATGTGAATAAACCTGTATTTCAATTTATAAATAATGCTCATTTTAATATTTTGAAATTATTTTAATATATTTTGAAAAACATCACATCAAGACTGAATTACAAGTACATGTCTATTAATGCTATAGTATTTTCCTATTTGCAAATTGTGCATGAATGATGTCATGTACCTACTGTTTGTGCATTAGCCTTTAAAAATGTTTGAATTGCTTTTTTACGTCAATATAACATGCAATATATTTCAGTATATTACTTTTTGAAATGAGAAATACAACAAACACTACCAAAAACGAGTTACTGTGAATTACTTTGTATTTACTCTACTTTCTATTTTCTAATGTGAGACACAATGTCAATGGCTAATTCAGTCAATAAATTTGAGTCAGTCCAAGATATGCAGACTCACGTTACGCTATATACTATACTATAGGATACATCATCGTATATATGGATTTTAGTGATTAGTATATCTACTGACTCTAAATTACCTGTGAAACATCTTCACACAGGTGGAAAACTGCTTGTTTTTGCAATCGAATGCTACACATGTAGGCATTTTTGTTGCACATCTAAGTGGAAGTGCGCAGTATCAACCTGCCGGCTGGTGGCTTCACTTTTTTCGGGCAGTCAGCAATCCAGTGAATAAATAGAGATTTGTGATTTTTTTTCTTCTGGGCAAAGAAGCGTTGAAACCCTCTAAAACCAATGGGTGATAAATAAACAACACAAAGGAAAGGGAGAAGAGTGTATTATTCCTTCTACATGTTTTTATTTTTTTTATTTCACTGAGTTTTGTTTTGTTTCATTCTTGTTGTCTTCATTAATCATGTTGACCACCAATTTGACTTTTAATATCCTCAGTATTATTATGTCAGTATTTGTGCCATTAAAGACATTTAAATTCTACAGGATTTCACATAGCATCTTCAGGTAACATTACCATGTTTTGTCTTATTTAATGGGGCAAACTGTTTACGTCACTCATTACGCATGCGTTTCCTTCCCAGCATGCATTGCTGTACATGAAATTGCAGAATGCTCAGTATTTTTTTGTTTTATGGACTGAAGTAGCATTAGATGTGGAGTAGACTGGTATCACCGTAGTAAACGTCTTTGTTTTTTCCCCATGAACCAGTGTGTTTATACATGAACCTTGCACCATAATCGTCTTTGGTTTTAAAAGTCCGAGGTATATAGCTGCAAAATTGCGCTCGGCTTCCTGGTGTGGGAGGAAGCTCATTGTAGAGGTCACATGCTGAGTGCTCGTCACTCGTCCAATCACCTCGGTGAAGGTCTGAGACAAGAGCCAATAGTTACCCTTGCAGGGTATCACCTGACAAGGGTGAGCGAGTGCACAGAAATAATGGACCAAAGCGTGCATTTCTCACAGGAGAAGCCAGAGGGCGCAGTTTCTCAGCTCCACTGGTGGATGTGGTGTACGCTGGTTTGGAATCACTTGCGGCTGGCAAATGAGTCCGATGTATGAGGTGGGGCACAGCTCCAGAACCCAATTCAGACTACTCTCCCCCCACACTTTTAGATTTACAATTTTATTATTTTAGCATTAATAAAGTCTAAAATTTTTCTGTTATTAATCTAAAACCAATAAAACCGAACTTTTTTTTTTAAATCAAAGCAGAAAAAATATATTTATTAAATATAATTAAATATATTTTATTTTTTTATATGTGGTTTTTATCATTGTTTGTCATCCTTTATTTAAATGCAGCATTTATGAAATACCTCTATATCATGTTGCTGCCTAAATAACCGTGATAAAGGGGGCTTTTTCTTTCAGATGGATAATGTTGCCACTATTTGTGAAACAAATCATCTCAAAAGTAAAGAACTGAAAAGAAAATGCAAAGTATCTCACCATTTCAATTCAATTCAGTTTATTTCTATAGCGCCAAAACATGTCATCTCAAGGCACTTTACAGTTCAACCACATCATACAGTCAAATTGATTCAAAGTTTTCTATCTAAGGAAAGCCAGTTGATTGCATCGACTTATTGACTCAAATGCAATTCCTCACACTAAGCATGCTTGTAGCGACAGTGGAGAGGAAAAACTCCCTTTTAACAGGAAGAAACCTCCAGCAGAACCATGCTCAGTGTGAGCATCCATCTGCCGAGGCCGACTGGGGTTTAAGGAGACAGAATCAGAGATACAAAAAGCAACGGTATAAGGATGCCCCGTCCAGTAAACATACGGCCATGCAGACGAGCTCCAAGCAAGCTCCTGTGTCAGAAGATAGAGAGCACATCCAGCCAGACAAGGTCAGAGAAACAGGACTACACTGAAAAAACAGGCCAATCTCCAGCATCTATAAACAACGGTGTTGATGGCAGCAGCACAGCTGATATTTCTCTCCAGGAT